CGCTTCTGTAGCGGTAAAAATCGTGAGTGTAAGTTATTGACTAACTTAACTCAAAGAAAACAAGAGTCGCCACCGCACTTTTATTTTATCCAAGTAAAGGAAAGGAAAAAGAGCGAACAAAACCAAAGAGTTCTAAAATAAGAACATGAGACAGAGATCGGGGTAAGGGGGTTGGTTACGCAATGGGAAGGTGTTAGCACCCAAAACGTCTATAGTACTCTATAGGAGCCCTTTGAAATATTTACGCTTTTTGGTTTGAAAATGGTTTGTTTGAAAAGAGATTGGGGAGATGAGAAGAGAATTATTTTTTTATATTTTTGTGTTTGGAGAGACTTATCGTCTCATGCCTACGTACCCATAAAGTGCAATATGGAATCAAAACCCCGTAGTTCGTGGTACAAATGACAAAATTTTGTTGGTTTTGATTGATTTTAGATGTTCAGACAAGTCGTCATTTCAAGGAGAAAACTGCGACTATCCACCCACGAGTATTAAGACAACATTTGCGTCACATAAAGATGGAGGATTTGCTTGGATTATCAACAAGACTATCACTCAACATCAACGTGGAAAATGTCAAAGTCTTAATAACATGGGGAATAGGAGATTTACATCTCAACTATAGAAATGAATCATGTCTAAACTTTATGAAAAGTTTTAAAGTGAAAAAGTGCATAAAGGCACAAAAAGAGTTGATGAGTTTTTGTATTTTTTATGTCTTTTGAAATTGGTCAAAACATGATTAACATTGATTGACTTTTATTAAGAAAAACAAAGTTAAAAAAAATCACTTGACGAAAGTCAAGGTTTTATTGCGAAAGCGGTTTTGAAGTTTGAAACCAAGAAGGTTTTGAAAGAGGGAGAAAGTTTTGAAAATTTAAGAAGGGGAGGAGATGAAATGACTATCCTAAAAATCAAAATAAGAGCTAGAGATAGGAAAGATCTAACCGACTTGTAGCACACTCCAAAGCAAGCAAAAAGAATTCCATCCGATTTAAAGTATCAGCCAGTGATCGAGCCAAATAAAGGCTAAGATTCTAAATTCTCCAAGCATAGGGAAGAAAGTCCTAATCCTAAGTCCAAAATGTCCATGAAGTCCAAGGTCTAAGAAGGGTCCAAGAGTATAACCACAAAATTAATAGCACCAAATTTTTAGATGTTTTATCCTTTATTAGTGTTTTGAACAAAGTATGGTCCAAGTGGACAAAAGAAAAATGACATAAACATAAACAAAGATATGGTATGTAATGATAAAATGGAAGCATAAAAGTAAAAAAAAATAAGGAGTAAGAAGAGAATATAGGCAAAATTAAACAAGGATATTGTTAGTGAATTAGTGGTTAGTGGTTAGAACATATGATCAATGATGATTAATTCTTGCACTTAGACCAAGATTAATGAAAATTCATTAGAGGATTGATAGAATCAAAGCCTCCTAACAATGATTTTCATAGGTATTGGAGTTAAGACAAGCAACTAAACATACTTGGACTTTTAAACGTAAGTTTGAGCCACGAATGATCATTTTCCGATTAAGGGACACTTTAGCGCTATGTTAAGCAATCGTAATCGGGTTTATGTAGAAACCACGACTATCTGAGGCCGGTCAATAAAATGTTAGTGTTAATACATGTTAGAGAAGTGATATGTAAATCACTCTCCTAAAACATGCCACACAAAAAGAAAAGAGGTAATGATCTCATCATAATCAAGATTTTTCATCAATTAATCAAAGGTAATCTATCACTATTCCAAAGTAAGGAGAATTATCTCAATGATTATTCGTCCATAGTTTTGAAATAATGAAGATTAATCAACCTTGATAATCAACAATCTATGATCCATAGATTTCATCGATCAAAAGAAAAATAAGAAGAAGAACTAAAATGAAAAGAAACCACAATTTGGATCTTAAATCGATTAAATCATCATCAATATCAATCACCTCTTTTGGTGGATAAAATCGACACCCAAAGTCCATTGAGATTGATGAGATCTTATCAGAATTTAAAATCCAAAACAACCAACAATTAGCTCCAAACAAAAGTTTTTTTAAATAAATTTTTTAAGAGCTCTTTTTTAAAAAACTATTTAAAATATTAACTAGTAAAAAAAAAGAAATAACAAAATAAAAGGAATAAAGAAAAATATATTTAAAACAGTAAAGAAAAACGAAAAAGGAGAAAGAGAAATAGAAAACCAAAGTATCAGAACAACTTCTTCTTCAAAACTTCACGCGACACCGTTCACCATGGCTATGAATTCAAGCTCAAATCAAAGCGACGGGATGCAAAATTAACACGGTTGCAATCGAAATCAAGAGCTCTTCACAATGGTACCAACAATTCAGAGAATCACAACAAAAGATAACGGATCGAAAATGACGGTGAAGCTCAATCTACCTTCAAACTCAGGTAAGAAATCAATCCAAGCTTCTTCTTACTTCTCTTCTTCTTCTGAACGAATTCTGGTTCGAAATTGGTCTGTGTTTGAGGTTGATTTGAAGTTAATTTGGTGGAATGAAGTATGAGAAGAGAATGAACGAAGGTTTTTCTGGTAGTGAGGAATTGAGGAAGAAAATCAGCAGAGATTTTTTGGCTTGAAAAGCTTGAGGAATAGAGTGAGGGATGAATTCTATTTATAGATGAGAACGAGTGAAAAATGATTTGCCGTTTGTGAGAATTTTCTGCCGTTTTGAAGTAGGTGTGTTGTGCGTGATATTTTTTGCTGGTATTTGACATGTCGTTTTGCAATTTTTCTCTTTGTAGCTCATTTAAGTGACATGGATAGCTTGTGGGGTCAGCTGATATTATATTCACATGGCTTGCAATATGGCTTGGATAAGTGACAAATTGTTTTCTCAGCTCAACCTCAATTTCGAGCCGTTTTCGCTCTGCTTCATCTAATCGAGAACGTTGGTCATTAATGATTTTCTTCAACTGAGGTGCATGATGCTTGAGTTCCAGGTGCACCTTATGAGCATATTCCACATAAGTCTCATGAAATAGTTTGAAATACTGATGCAATGTTGATCGGCTTTCAATTGAATCAGCTGCAACTGAGCGTAGACTTTGAGAGGCCCAAGGAACAAGTACCTCCTTAGGCTCACTAAGCAGTTCTTTGCTAATTATTGGTTGAATATCTCTCTCATTTGATTGCCCCACTGATTGAATGTGCTTCTTCTCCATATCAATGCTTAATTGAGGCAAAAGGTTCCAAGTTTTCATCTCAAGCACAACACATTCTTGAGAAAGAGTAACAGCCACACTCCAAGAATATCCAAAAGAATCAGACAATGACACAAAACCACAAAGTGAAGGCTCTGAAGTGGATCCATTCTGGCATGTATTTAGAACAGGATGTACAGAAGGTGTCCTCATTGTATCATCCTTTCCATTTGCCTGACTTGTAAATGGAAGACAATGCAACACTATTGAGTCAATCCCTCCATCGTGAAGGGAATATATTCTCTCTGGCATAAGGGTATCAATGAACAATGAAATATTATAACCCCTTTCTGCTCTTCGTGGCAGAGCCAAATCAACAATAGCCAGTCTCAGCAGAGGGGATGGATGACCCAACCAGGCATTATTATGATCAAGCTTCTCTGGGGGACTGCTGGCAGTTGACTCACAAATCATAGCAAGGCCAAGTATTTCGTCATGGGAGTCAAGACGAAGACGAGGTGGACTACCAATACTCCAGACAGGTTGGATCTCATCAGCTAGAGCATCTATCTGTAATTGCCCCCCACTCCAGGCAGTCACCAAGATAGAGTCTTTGCTAACTAAATTGTAGAGAAAACTAACTGCACGACCCTCACATTCAGCACTGCGACCAACTGAATCTCCGTTTCCACTCTGACCTACTCTTTGCAAAGGTCCCTGCAAGACGAGAGATGCGTCAAATACTAAATAAGCATGAGATCTTAGCAAAGATAAGCTGTCTCCTTCATTTTCTTGGTTCTGTAACTCAGGAAATGTTGCTTCTAGCCAGGAGATTGCCAACTTTGAATTACTAGCCGCCACAGAGTTGGCTGACATTAGCCCAAATGTATGTGCGTCATTGTATATGTCTAATAAAGATTCACATTTGAATAGACTTCCAAATGGAACAACAGGGCAAATTACATAGATAGACCCGTCACTGAATGCAACAAAAACACTGAACCTGTCCCACAAATGGTCTCCCCCAAAAGAAAAACCGACTGGACATATTGATGAGGCAGTTCTGGATCTACAATGAACTGCAGGCTGTAAATAGTATTCTTGCTCTGGTTGCAAAGGATCCACGGCCAGATTGAAAAGCCTAAAAACCGAGTCAGAGGAAAGGACTCCCAAATGAGTATCACTGTAAGGGTGCCATGACGCTTCCAATAGACGAATATCATTGTTTCCAAGGGAATGTGTCTGAGAACCAACAGCAATGGTCCTGCAAATCAAATTTACATCCGTCTTGGATGTGCGTCCATAGAGATACATAACACAGAGTCTTTCAGAACCAAAAAGAAGTATCGCTGTTCCATTCCTATTGATGGAGATTTTGTGCACATCAAAGTCGAGAACAACATCTGTTTGCAACACCTTAGAGGGAGAAGCGGCAAGAACGGAAGTAGGATCAGGATCAATCTTGAGACATTGCTCATAAGCATTAATTGCTAGAGCAATATCACCAGCATCTCTATAAAGAACTCCTAGGTTATCGTATGCCTCTGCGTATGTCGGATTTGCAATGATGGCTTTCTCGATCATACTTGCAGCGGCATCTATCTTACCCTGGACAGTGTAGACAACACCGAGGTTATAATATGCTGGAGCATAGTGTGAATCTACTTTTAGAGCTTCAAAATATTTTTGAATTCCCTCCTGAGTGTTTCCTGTAAGCTTTACAAAAATAACCCTTGGTTCACCTGAGAAACTATGTAATTATGGGGCTAACAGCCAAGTTGTTGCACATAAACCAGAGGAAATGACCTTATCAAACATTCAGAGGACCTGCATTTACTGGTTTCTGATGAAATCTTGCAATTGGCATCCCATCCGTATCATCTTTTGATATGACTCAGCTGCCTCCATCAACCGACCTTCTTCTTTATCAGCTGCAGTGGAATCGAGCCACAGATTGACAACAGCATCGCTACCACCAGTTGCAAGCAGCTCTGTTTTACTGCCTACAGCCAAGGCCCAAACCTTGTCTTCGTGATGGTCATACGTGGCAACACATTCATTTGATTTTACAGTCCAAAGTTTTACTAAACCATCAGCGCCACAAGAAACAATCTGTGTTCCACGAGTAACAAACAGTGCTCTTAACACACTTGAGGTGTGTCCTTCAAATGTCTTCAAACACGAGCCATCAGATATAGCCCATATCCTTATTGTTTTGTCCCCGGATGCTGTTACTACACATTGATCAACAGGCGAAAACTCCACAGACCAGATTCCTCTTTTATGCCCTTTAAATACAACTACTGATACTAGATCTGGAAGTCTCCAAACACAAGCAGTGCAGTCCTGAGAACCACTACATACTAAACTATCATTTGGAGCAACAGCTACAGAATTGATATCTTTATCGTGAGCTGCAACAACAGCTTTTGCTTTTAAGTTAATTGGAGCTGTCAAATTGTCCAAGAGACCATCCATACTCCACACCTTAAGAGTATGATCGCTACTGCCACTAACAAAGAAGTCCCGCTTTTTTTTCCATCTTCAAAGCATCTATGAATCATGGTAGTCCATGAAACAACATCTCTATCAGCCATCTGATAAAAAATACCCCTAGCTTCATCTAAGCTCCCACACTTACCATACAAGTCCAAAAGTGCAGTCCAAACCACCTCATCCAAGTTCAACTCAGTCCTTATCAAGTAACCATGAATTTCCTTCCCAAGACGCAAACTCGGTATAGCAGCAGCTGCTGCCAAAGCACTAGACAAGGTAAACATATTAGAGTTAGAACTCTCATTCACCTGCATTATTCTAAACAAATCCAGAGCTTCCCTGTGTCGATCACAGCTAACATAACCAGAAATAACAGCATTCCAAGAGAAGTTATCTCTTTGAGGCATTTTATCAAACAGTTTCCTAGCTTGTTCAAGACGACCAATATTAGCATAACCTGATATCATGGTATTCCAAGAACACAAATCCTTTTGTGGCATTTGATCAAACACCGTCGTTAGTTACAGTAACTTCACGGCCTCTACCAGTTGACTGCAAAATTTTATCCATTCCCTTTGGCCTTGTCTATGGCGGCAACCGATAGAATACCATTTGCATCAATGTCAAATTTCACCTCAATTTGAGGAACCCCGCGAGGAGCGGGAGGGATACCGTCCAAGCGGAAGCTACCAAGAGATTTGTTATCCCTTACAAATTCTCTCTCACCCTGAAGGACATTGATTTCTACACTTGTCTGCCCATCAGCAGCAGTAGAGAAAACCTCTGATTTTGAGGTGGGAAGAGTAGTGTTTCTTGGAATAATCTTGGTCATCACACCACCAAGAGTTTCCAAACCCAATGACAGTGGAGAAACATCCAACAGCACAATGTCACTGACATCTCCAGCCAAGACACCAGCCTGAACAGCAGCTCCAAGGGCAACCACCAAAATAGTTTCATTGTTTTTCCTTTCAAAACCATAAGCCAAGGATGCAGCAGTTGGTTCATTGATAATTCTAAGAACTTCAAGACCAGCTATCCTTCCAGCATCCTTTGTAGCAGCTCTTTGTGAATCATTGAAGTACGCAGGCACAGTAACCACAGCCTTAGTTACTTTATCATTCAAAAACTTTGAAGCATCATCAACAAGCTTCCTCAAAACCTGAGCGGAAATTTCTTCAGCTGCAAAAGATTTACCAATAGCAGGACAATCAAGTTTAACGTTGCCGTTATCGTCTCTGATAACTTTATAAGAAACCTGCTTTGACTCTTCATCAACTTCAGACATCTTCCTTCCAATAAACCTCTTGACGGAGAAAAACGTGTTCTCGGGATTCACAACCGCCTGAAGTTCAACGATAACCTCTATTTCCGGAACAGATAATGCACGTTGCATTGAAGAAGCTCTGGAGAAAGAAGTGATGGGTTCTTCCATATCATTCTTATATTTCAAAATAGAAACCCTGCCATCCTTGATATGCATAACTTCACCATCTTCAATAACTAGCACTTTCTTGGTATGCTCAACCACCGCATTGGCGTCACTGGACAAAAGCAATTCCTTGGGCTTTTCCATCTTTTGATAGGAATTTATTTTCCTCATAGGTGGAGCCATCCTCCTTATTTTGTGCCAATTCTTTAACACCTAGGAGCAGCAGGCTACCACGCTTGCAAGCAATCAATTCATTAGGATAATATGAACTTTTGGAGATAAGTGCATAGGTTCCTTCAAGAGAAATGTTATGCACTCTCATGTATCTATCCTTCAATCATGCTTTAAGTTCACTTGGAAATGGCGCAATTGAATGAACACTTTGTACCTGCATCTTAATTAAGACATCTTGATTGAACATCCACCAAACTTGACTTGTACAGGCAAAACTCTGAATTTTTGATTAAAGTTGGGCAAAACTTCTCATAGAACATTGTTTGAAAGCTTGATGAATTCCGATACAGGACAACCTGATCGTAAACAATCACATTTCCTGAGAAAATAACCCACTGCCACAACCAATTTACACTTAAAGAAATCTCTTGATAGTTTGACCAAGATGAGGTCAAACATCCATCTGATTTAAACTTGAATAAATGTCTTGGTGATCAATCTCCCTTCAAAACCCTAAACACACAGAGAAGAAGAAACAAAAAATATTTTTGGTATTTTGATTAGATGTTAGTAAACAGAAACAAACATAAAGTAAATAAGAAACACAAAGTAAGATCTTGTTTGTGGAATGATATGCAAATGAAATGTAGGATCTTAGGGGTAAAAATTAGGGTATTACAGCTGCCCCTATTTAAGATTCTTCTATCCGGAGATATGAAGATTGACATCTTTGTCTCGACTAGATAGAAGAGACTTAAATATAACAATTAACCCAATTTTTAGCCCTAAGAGACCACAAAATGATATGATTATGCTAATGATATGCGAACATAAGACTTCTGTGGGAAAATAATGCCACAGGAGACAAACAAAAGCTCGGGAGAAAAAGAGAGACTCCACATGAGAAAACAAAAGAGCAAGATCTTATTCCGATAAGGGAAAGGAAACGACTTAATGGGGAAAGAGATACCAACCGCCAGTTACTGGGCGAAAATATTCGAACCGAAGAGAATAGATAAAATACTTTCTACCGGTTACTGAGTAGAAAATAAGTGCAAAAACACAAGAAAATTGTTATCTACCAGTTACTGGGTAGAAAACCAAGAAATGTATTACCTATTACCAGTTACTGGGTAAAAAGTAATCCACTCGTTGAAATATAATCAACTACCTGCTACTGGGTAGGAAAAGAAGCAACGCCAACTACTGGTTACTGAGTAGTTTAGCGAGAATAATAAACTTGAATGAAAGGGGTTACCAACTATCGGTTACTGGATAGGGTAAACAACATGTCGACTACCTGTTACTGGGTATGACGGACTCGACTACCTGTCACTGGGTAGGAGAAAAAGATAAAAGGTCAACTACCTGACACTGGGTAGGACAAACATACTCGACTACCTGTCACTGGGTAGGAGAAAGAGATATATCATCAGCTACTTGTTACTGAGCAGCTCCAAACACACAACAAACTTCTCAAATAAAGAGACAACCATTTGTTGGAAAAAGATATTAACAACTCTGTCGGGGATCTTTAAAAGAGATACGAGCAGGTTGAACCATGCAATAGAATTCTCATCGGGAGTTATTCCACAGAAATTCCAATTGTCAGAAAAGCTGGTCAGATAAGGATCCATCACTTCACAATAAATTTCTCTGTTGAGGATGAACTAGAGAAATGTTATTTATTGCGAAGGTAAATTTCTGGAGATTACACAAGCTGCTTAAATAAAGAGGCTTCCACATGAAGTTGCATAAGTAATTACCAAGAGAGTGTTATCAAAACACTACTGGGGAAATCAAATCTTCATCTTCTGATGGGGATCAATAACAGATTCTGCTGAGGAAAATAAATCCTCAAAACCACCTTCTCGTCATCCCGGTTCCACAGCCCAGGGAAAACTAAAGTAACTGCTGCAAGAGACCAAAGTTCAATCCAGGAACAAACTGGAAAGAAACGGTCAAACAAGACTCGACCCAATGAGGAAATAACTCAACTGGGGAACAATTCCATCCAGATAAAAAAACTGGGGAGGAAAGCTAAACAAAGCATCTTCCACGAGGCATAAACTCAGTGGGGAATTAAAAATGATAGGTATTTTCTGCTTAGGGGTCGACACTCTAATGAAGAGAGGACACACACATTCTGCGAGATAACAACATCGGGAAAAGGGAAATACCAACAAAAAATGCAGGATGCACAATGCAACAAAGACATGCTATGCTCAACCAAAATGAATGCGCATGCAATGAGTATGAATATGCTGATAAATCAGACAAAAAGGGCAAATAGAGGGTGAACAAAACACCACAACACCACTGAAATACTCGGCTAATCTCTGCGAATTAGAGATATCATTGAAGATCGTGCTGGGGATCAGCAACGGAAAATCTTCAACCATCAATAATTCAACAATATGAACTCCGCTTTGAGAAAAAAAACTGTTGGAGAAAAACATAGCAACACAAATCTTCCAACCCTGCCAGGGGAATAAGAAGTTAACATCATAGCAAAAAGTCAAACTGTGGGGGATTTTAAATCAACACCCAATCACAAGGTGAGAGAAAACCCGACAGGTGACTGCTATGTCAACACTTCTCAACATTGTTCTCTACTTGGGGAATAATCCAAAGCAAATGTGCATAACCTCCGCTAGGAATCATCAAAGACAAATCTCCGCTTGGGCAAAAACATCAAGAAGAAGTGGTCTTCAAATTTCTCAACTGTCCGATCATTTGAATCAAGACTTTGCTGTGGAAAACCGTTCAACACTCGTCTGGTTTATCCAAAGAAACAAAACTCTGCTAAGGGAATATCAGCAAACTCTACTGAAGAGACCTCAATATAGCTCAAATGGGGAAACATCAACACAACTCTACTGGGGAGCTGCTAATAAATTCTATCAGAGAGGCAAGAAAGAACCCTGCTGAAGAGAACATTTACGCTTTTCGCTTCAAGATTCTACCATTCTTGGGATTACTGTTGATATTCTTTCTTTTATTTTCACAAATCAAAGAAAAATGTTTTTATAATTTTCAAAATTTAAATCAATTATTCACATTTGTTTCAAAAATCATTATCAAAAAATAAAATGAAATTCTATAAACAGAAACAAAATAAGAATTGCAAACAAAGGGACAAAGGCCCAAATTCTATTGATAGAATGGTAGTCCGCAAATGGCGTAACTCCATGGATCCTTACAAAGTTTGAAAAATGGTAAGTACAATGGAAAGTTCTACATTGAAATACAATGACCATTATTCTCCCTAACAACTTTGAATTCCAACTGTGCTTGAGACTTCAGCGGAGAATATCTGAAGTAAAACCTTTGATAGGAAATGTTGCTTCAAACGATCAAGACTGGCCAGATGCAG